ATTTAAGGTAAAAGTAGATTAAGGGTACGTTTGTTTTAGTATATAAGATCTTAATTAAGGTAGCCTTAAACGCTCTAGAGACTGCTTTAAGACTACTGTTTTAGATCTTCTAGAGTAACTTTACTATCCTTAAGGGACCCTTAGTAAGGTCTATAGTTAGGAGCTAAACCGCTAAAGTGTATATAAGTGCTAGAAAGATAACTATATAGTATATTAGATAGGCTTTCTTTATTATTATACCTTACGTTAAGGCTGTAGTACAGGTTAGGGCTAGTATCTACCTCTCTATCTTTTCCTCTAGGTATTTTAGGTAAGCTTCTTATGTTAGCTTTAGGTCTAGGATAAGGCTAAGGATCTTAATTAACGGTTCTAGGGTAATCTCTATATTACTTAAGGAGAGGCCTGTGTTTAGGTTATGTTTTTGTCCTTTACTTAGGTAAAGTAGATAGTATTTCGTTAGTTTAAAGACAGCCTTATGTCTATAGGCCTAGTTAGAACATACCTAGTAAATCTTTACTAGCCCTTAGTAATTTCCTTTTATTATCTTACCCTAGACAATAATATTTATATCGTTAACAAATCTAATAGTACTTTTCTCTTATAAGGTAGTGTTACACTATTCTACTAGTTCTAAGTTATAAAACAAAAAGAGGATAAGGGATAAGAGAGAGCCTTATAGAATTCTAAAAGGGACTTTAAAGAAGGGGCTAGTATAGTTATTAATCCTAATTAAACTACTTCTCTTTAAGAGAAAGCCTTTAACTAGTTAGACTATCTACTTTAGGATCCCCTTTATACGTAAGATATAAAGAAGCCTCGGGTAGGATAAATTATTAAAGGCCCTAGCTATGTCTAGGCTAAGAATCGACGCCACTATTTTTAGGCTACTTTACTAAGCCTTATAGACTTGTTCTATAATTAGTTCTAGTACTATAGTTATGTCTCTCTCTCTTTACGCCCTTATTTAGTATACTAAAAGGAGTTAGTAATCCTCTACTAGGTTAGTTAGTCTTATAGCGACTAGCTTCTCTAGAGTCTTTCTAAGGGTGTTAAAGAGGGCAATTAGTTAATATAATTTTACTTAATAGTAGTCTTTTCCTAGCTTTAAGATTATAATAGTTTAGGCTACCCTAAACTTTTCTAAAAAGTATCTAACCTAGGTATAGTAGTTAAAGAGGTAAGTATAGTGTTAGAGTAAGACCTTTATTAATATTTTAATGATCTCGTTTAGGATCCTATCCGGGCCTAAGGCCTTCTTATTCTTAAGCTTCTTAATTATAGCGTAAACTTTATCTACTAAGAACTCTAGTAAGTAGAATAGACTGTCTCTATATCGTCTCCTTCTTAGGTTAACTAGCCTGTCTTAAGGGTATTAGTATTCTAAGATGTCTAAAAGATTAGCGTTAAGAGCTAGAGTAAAGAAAACGTCTTAAAAAGCTTTAGCCTTCTTCTTATAAGTATTAACTAGGGCCTCTCTACCTTAGGGGTAAAGGGTTAGGAACTATAGTAAGGGTCTAGGCAAGTAGCTTCTGTTCTTTACCTATTATTTAAGTTACTATATTCTCCTTTTACGCTAGCTAGCCTTATAGACTAGGGCCTTAAAGTAAAGGGTCTAGGCTTTTAGGATTACCTTCTTCTTTTCTCTTACTATTTTATACTACTCTCTTATCGTCTCTTTTAGAATTCTCTTACCTTCTCTCTAGTACTTTCTTAGGTCTACTTGTCTTACTCTCTTTACTTACTTACTATACTCCTTATTCTAGAAGCTTTTAGATCTATCGCTTACCCTTTACTATAAGACCGCTACTTTAATAGCCTAATTTAAGGAGTCTATAAGTAGTTAGAGCTAGTTGTTAATATCCCTTAGAGTACGTAGCTTAGAGATTACTAGTACTAAGCCTTATAGGATTTTAAGAAGCTTTAGTTTATTAGTCGCTTTTTATTGTCTTTACAAAGGTAGGACGTAGCTTTTAGCCTTAAATCTAAGCTTTATAGTAATAAGAAAGTAGTTAGACTAGAGGTCGTGTCTTAGCTTTACTTTATAAGAGCTAAGAAGATCTTTAAATTTAATTAGGATTAGGGCTAGGTTAATATAAGATTTGTGGTTTCCTCTTTCCTATGTTCGTTCTCTAATAAGCGTTACGATCCTAAGTAAAAAGTCTTATAAAATACTTATTACTTTATCTAACATTCTCTCTAAGTCTTAAGAGGCTTTGCCTCCTTATATAAGGTAATAGAGGTTAAAGTCCCCTACTACTATATACTTATAGCTTTAGTTGTCTAGCTCTTCTTAGAGGGCCGGGAAAGTAGAGAGTCCTCTTAAGGTATACTTGTTAAGAAAGAAAGGGTTATAGATATTTGTAACTTTAACTAGTATTAGAGTACTTATAACGTCGACTTTAAGGCTAACTTAGTATAAGTCTAGGTAAAGGGTGTTAAAGGTCTAAGTAGTCTAATCAATCCTTTTATTTATATATATTACTACTCTTATGCCCTTTACCTGTCTATAGATTAGTCTTTACTAGAGACCTAGTAAAGTAGTTATAAAGTCGTGTTTATTATACTAGGGTTCTTAAATAGCTAAGATATTATACTAGGCTAAGAAAGGGTCCTAGAGTAGCGCGATTATAACATTCTTCTTTTTGTTAACGTTATATTATAGTATGTTAAATAAGTCTTAGTCTAATTCTATAAAGAGTCCTAGCTTATAAGTATTTTATCTGTTTAGGATTCTGTCTAGCTTAGGATAAGGACGACTAGAGTTACGTAGCTAGGTACTATAGAGGTTCTAAAGCTTAGTATTAAGAGAGGAAAGGGCCGAGAGTTAGAGCTATTAGTTTCTCTATTCTTTTTCTTCTTATTTAGAGAACTAGTAAAAGGGCTCGTATCTCTTACTTAAGGGCTAAAGGTTTATATGTACTAGTGTATAGCTCTCTCTTAGCCTATTAGAGTATTAACTCTTAGTCTTCTTATAGAGCGTTTTAGGTCGCTTAAGGCAAGAGTAAGGGTTAGGCCTAAAGCTACCCTAGTATTAATTAGATCTCCTTAATAATATCTACTAGGCCTTATAAGGGCTACTTACTCTACTTCTTTTAATTTTTTCTATAGTAGTAGGTAGGCTACCTAGTCTTAGGCCTAGTGTCTTTTCTTCTTATAGTTAGTACATCTTTATTTCTCTTTGTTTTATAAGTTTTAGTATGTCTTTATTTAGTAAGAGCTCGCGTATGTTCTATAAGTTTCTTGTTTTAAACATATAGTTAACTAGTAAGGTCTTATCTCCTAGTACTTAAAGTACTAGTTTAGGGACACTTCTAGAGAGTAGAGGGTGTAGTAGTATAGTTCGCTATCTACTATTAAGCCTTCCTTAATTACCTTTTCTACGTGTTTAAAGTCTAGGATACTTAGGACAAGAGACGTCTACTACTTCTCTTAGGCGCGTGTCTTAACTAGCTAGAACGACTTAACGATCTAGATCCTTAGGTTTAATACCTAGATAGCCTAGATCTATTCCTTTCTCTTTAGAGAATCCTCTTTAAGGCCTACTCTCTTAACCTTAACATTATAAACAATTATTAGTAGTATAGTCTAGAACACCTCTACTCTACTAAAGGTCGACGTTACCTAGCCCTAATCTCTCTATATTTACCTTATACTCTCTAAATCCTTTATATAAAGCGTATAGCCTCTATTCTTATACCTATAAATAGCCTGTACTAGGGCGCCTAAGAGGGCTGTATTAATCTTATCCTTTATTGTCTTATAATCAATGTTTTTAAACCTTTTTATATCCTTTATAAAGAGCTTAACTCTAATCCTCTTCTTAATCTTTATAACGTCCTTATACCTAAACGTCTAGGTTAAGGGGCTACTAGTCGCTAAGTAGGCTTAGGGCGCTCTTTCTTTAGCTATCGCTACGTACGTTAGTCGGCCTTACGTACTAAGGTTCGTGACTTTAGTTTTAATGTTCTTAATTAAGAAGGCTATTCGTTAGGCCTATTCTAGGGCCTTAGCGTTATCGTTACTCGTATATAGAGTTTTTGTAACGCGTTCGATTTTGTTAACTAACTTTTTAATACTTAGTATTACTAGAGAGCGTCTAGCGCTAGAGGCCTACTTATTAGCCTACGATATTACTTTGTAAATTTCTGTAGTAATACTAAGTAATTGTCGGCCTAAGTAGATTCTAGGTCCTTCTAGCCTATTTTGACTGTCCCTAGTAAGTTCTCTTAGAGGCACTAGTAGGTACGCTATCGTACGACGATAGAAGTCAAAGAGGGCACTTAAAGGAGTGTTTTAAGGTCCTTTTAATAAGTGTAGTAGCTGTTGTTTTCCAAAAATGCCGCTCCTTAAGGAAGAGATGTTTCTCTCTATAAATAAGGTATGTAGGTACTTAAGTACTTAAATCCTAATAATACTATAAACTATTAAAAACAGGGTATAAGGGAATGATCCTTGTATATTAATTAAGGATTAGTTAGTAATTAGGGGAACGTGTTCTGTAACCCAGTAATTAATCCTGCTGTTTGACAGGTACCTTACCTAGTTAAGGTAAAGAATATAATATCTATCTCAAATTCTTCGAGGGGTAAAGGGATCATTTAGAGCCTGTCCGCGCGCCAATTTGACACCCCCTAGTAATTTGTATGACGCTGAGAATGATTCTTGGATTTTGTTAACATATTAGTGGTTGAGAGCTACCTATGTTATTGGTTTTGGGAGCGCTCTGCCATTTTATATTCAATTAGAACAGGGTTTTCCGCCTCGCCCCGCGATGTTAGATTAGTTCCTTAAAACACCCACTTAAAAACGTATCTATTGAGTCGTGTCAAGGCGCAGCTTCCTGGAAAGGTCACATGGCGATGAAATCAGGTCTAGCTTCGTACATTCACGTATATATACCTTTAGTCTTCTTCTCTCTTCTTCAGACAATTGTACAGATTTATCACATGTTCTTTACCAAGACCTAAACCTCGACACAATAATGCTCTGATAGGTGCTTCTCACTTATCAGGGTCGGCCGTACCAGTAGCCACCACTGTTCTCTCCACGATGAGGCGGTACTCTAGAGGGTCGTACTCGTACAACACGTATCCTTCAGCGTTATTGATATAGAACTCATCAGTAGCGTCAGACATTCCGGAGCCATCTTGGGAGCCTCTTCCTGATCGTTCTTTGATGGTAACGCTGTTGCGCTTATCTTGCGAGCCATGCTCCGATCCTCCAGCAGAGGAAGCGTACCCTGTAACGTCATAGGTGACAATTTTTGGTTCAAACCCTGGGAGTCTGTTAGTGGTGCCTGCTGAGATAGTTCTGCTGCAATCTGGGAGCATATACCAATCAATTCCTTCACTGTAGCTTGAATCATCTGGCTCGACTTTCCGTATAGCTCTTTGCCCCTTAGCGTTGTTGACACGGTCTCTACGCTCCATTTTCCTACGACAAGGAAAGCCTGGAGACCTTTTATACCTACAAAAGTGTGTTTTTTAGCAATTTTGCTGGGAGGCTGGGAATTTTACAGCAAACTAAAGTACATACCCTTGAATTTGTTGACATAAGAAGCTAGAGGTTGTTGAGCATTTGTGATTCCCCCTGCGAGAGGATCCTTCCGTCCCTTTTGCAGCAAATCAATGACTTCCCCTTGAAAATCTGGCTTGACACCTGCTTTGAGCTGCTCTTCATCTTCGGGCAAGTTATTCTCAAGCGGGAAGGAGCGCATCTCAAAGGAATGTGTATAGTACACAGCCTTTGGAGACATCACAATCAACGTTGTACAGCCCTCGAGGGCTCGCACTATAAGCTTAAAGGGCGCCTTTTTAGTAAGCGGACGGAAAAGGGCCGTGTTGAATTTTGCTAAACCAGTGCTTTGTTTAATTACGTGTTCCGTGATCTTGTTTTCGTATACTGTTTTCATGTATGTGTTTTGGTCTTCGTGACTTGTGGGCCATGCTGCAAGTTCTCGGGGAACAACGTGGCGTTTGTTTGGGCCAGCCTTTACGGAATTCAAACATGTGCCGCCACCTCGGCCTCCTGTTTTTCTCTTAGGCCTGGTCGAAGTCTTTCCGGGAATGGCGGGAAAGGGTGTATACTTGTCGAAACCTTCTCTATTAGAACTACCTAGAGTCGAACCTAGACTTCTAGGATTCCTACTCTTTTGATTTAGAGTTGTATTTAAGGTTGGATTTCTAGTTTTACCTCCTTTTCTAAGGATAGAAATTGATTCGAGGCACGAGAGTGGCGTTGCTTTTAAGTCGTCAAATTTCATAAAATGTATCTAGAGAAGGGACTTACTTGTCAGTAATAAGAAAGCCGTGTAAGAATGTTAAGAGTGCTCCTAACAGAAACAAGACAACCTAAGGCAGTTAGATACGCATTTTGGCACAGTGTGTAGTAATGTTGTGTTTAAGTTAATCGGATCCTACTAACTATAAGCTAAATGTGAGGTAAAGTGTAAGAGATAGGAAGATATAAATAAGAAACTAGTAAAGGTAGAATAAGATGTATAAGTTTAACAGGACTTCTAAGGAGTTTATATTAGAAGTTCTGTGTATCCTTTATCCTATACACACCGTAGTAACCTTACTCCCTTATAGACTCCCTGGCGCCTTTATCCTGACCCCTAAGCAAGTCTTTAGAAGAAGGAGCAAGAAGGCATACTCTTTAAGGAAAGAATCCACCCCCTTTGTTGACCCTCTACACTGTATTTCTAATAAATTTCTTAGTAGAGGATCTTTTAACCTCGCTAGCTTATAAGACGTAGCCTTACAGGTTCTAGAGACTTTTGTAGGGTTTAGGCCTTCCTGTATGGGAATGAAAGGGGCATAGATAGACAGCTCTGACGAATAGAACGAACTGTATATACGTGCCCCTAACTACAACAGGTAAACAATCCTTATAATGCCCGAGCTTGAACATTCCCTCAGCCTCTACTACAGCGGTACTGTTGGAACTAACCAAGTAACTCGAGATGCTCGCGAATAGGGTAGTTTGAGTAGGAGACTTTGTTGGTTGGCGTTTCATTTTGGCGTGTAGTGGTGACACGCGAAAATGCTAGGTACCTAGGTAGGTAGAGATGAACTTAAGGAGTGCTGATACGCGAGCCACCACTCTAACAGAACACTTTTCTTCCGGTAATATAGTAGTGTAATAGAGGCGGCGACAATGTCAACAGTGATAGTGAACAATAGTAAGGGTCTACCTTAGAGTACAATCTGTAAGCGATAATGCACTACTACTGACCAGGCACCTATACTTACGCCATGATTCTATCTATTCTAAGATTACTTTTTCCTCGTGCAGGTTACGACATGCGTGCCATCCTCAAGTACAATACACTGTATTTAGCTAGAAGCTGCGCGAAATTCGCCTGTGGGCCTATAAATAACTTCCTCGTCACATACAACGTAAGGCATACTACGCATACAAGCCTACCTCCAGCTCGACATACACAAAATGGATCGCTCAGCCCCTCTTCCAACTCCTTGCAAACGAGACTGGGCGGCCGAAATCAAGTCTACTATAACTAATAATAATCTTGCCTCATTCTCTAGCCTCCTATTGGAATGGCGTTCGAGCGCCTCATCCTCATCCCCTCCTCCTTCCGCCCCTCCTCTCGCCGCCTCTATCCATCCTACAGACGAGGAACTCTCATCTCTCGCCCTCTCTGTTGCACTATCAGGAGTCTCGGCCGAGTTCCTCCAGACACTTCAACAGGCTGGCTGGGAAGTTACCACAAGTCTACCTCCTACGACTTCTGCCTATTTCTTGAAGTATTTGCCCCTAAACTCACTAATACTAGAAGTCCAAACTGATTCCTCTGTCTAGGAGCGCACTGCGGAACGAAGCTCTGACTTCATGGCTGTTGGAGCAGGGCCTGGATCCTAACATTCTAGTCAGCAGGAGCAAAAATATCACAGCCTTAACATATGCAGCATATTACTCACCACCTGCCATCCTCTCACTCCTGCTCCTACATAAGGCCTCTATCACAGAAAGCCGCGCCCTCTCAGCAGCAGTTCTCTGCCGCTCCTCATCATGGGAAATCAAACTTGACATACTGCTCCCCGCAGGCGCTGACGTCAATGCACTTGAGTTGGAACTGCCATGGTTGATTGATCCAGTCTCCAACTACCCGACTGTAAAGGGGACGCCGTTGCATTGGACTGCTTACTGGGGGTTTAGAGATAGGGGAGCGCGATTAGTTGAGAGGGGTGCGGATGTAGGGATTAGAAATAGTGAGGGCCTGACTGCTGCAGAGGTGGGCGAGATGGCGAGGAAATCAGGGCGCTTATATCGGGGCTGGTCAAGAAAACTATTCTCAGAAGAGGCGCTGAACAGGGCGGAAGAGGATCGTATTTCCAGATTAGTCTTTGATAAGGATAAAGCTCTTAATAGTCCTAATAACAGTTAGAGGATGCGCGCGGCATTGTCTAATTTAGATTACTTAAAGAGATAGTATGTTTAGGGCCTACCTAAATATACTAATGACTTGTCTAAATGTACGCGCTAATATTTTTAGCGAATAATTTCAGGGGTACATCTAATACACCTACGCTTTAGTAGTAATTTGTATAGTAGCGTAAGCTAACTTAATGTAAACAAATAATCAATTCGTAATTCGTAATTCTACTAACACAAAAATAAAGCTATTCCTAGTTGCTTATTCATTACTATTACTGTTACTATTACCCCTCTCCCCCCTCCTTTTCCCCCTCCCCCCCTCTCTCTAACGCTATAACACTATTTTACACTATAGTAGTAGTAGCTATAGTAGTATCTACTATAGAGTTAGACTAGTAGATAGATGCTATGCTCTACATATATCTTCTATTACCCGGCTTACAGTAGGTAGTAGGTAGTAAGTAGTAGGTAGTAGGTAGTAGAGAGAGTGTTATAAATAGCTTTAATTTTTTACGTACATAAGGTATTAAGTAGGTAGGTAGGTAAGTAAGGTAAGGGTAAGGGTACAGAGTTTTGTTATACATTACATCTGTAACAGGCGCGATTACGTACTTACATTAAGTTAGCTTGCGCTACTATACAAATTACTATAGTAACGCGAGTTTAATAAGTACATACTATAAACTTGCTAACTATCCTTGATTAGGTCTAGCGCGTACATTTAGACAAGTCATTAGTATATTTAGGTAGGCCTTATGTTTACTATAGGTAATAAAAGACTAGTCTAAACTAATTCTATTAGACATTTTTAAGAATTTAATATTATAATAAGTTAGAACTAATAAAAGAAAAACAATAAAATATAAAGACAGTATTTTTAAAATCAAGCTATTAAATAGCCTTAGAAACCCTTTATAAGCCCTCTACTAATCTCTAAGAGCCTCTTTATTATATTATAATAGTGTACTACCTAGTACCCTTAAGGTAACCTACTAAAGAAAAGTATAAAGAGATACTAAAAGACATAGTTTGTCTAAGCTACTACCTAATAGTAGTAGTAGTAGTTGTTAAGGGTTATACATATATTTAGAGAGGTATTTGTATAGTACAATTATTTATTCTTATAGATCTAATACTAGAACTAACATCTAGTATATAAGTATGTCTTAAGTACTCTCTAAAAGCCTTTTATAATACCCGCCCCTCTTTTATAGCTATTGTCCTTAATAGTAACAGACTATCTTACTTAACTCTTTATTACTCTTTTATTACTATATTCTTCTTATCTTATTCTTTTACTAATCTGTTCTTATCCTTCTTTACTAACTACTACTTCTTATCCTTTATCTCTCTTTTTAACTCTCTTACCTTATAGTATTAATAATAGTGTATAGCTAAGTACTCTAGTTAGTAAGGTATTCTTACTAGCTCTACTCTTAGTAAGTATAGGTCTAGGACATAAAGTACTATATTTACTACTATTACTTAGTTATAAGAGATATAATAAAGACACGCCGGTACCTTAAAGAGGCGTAGTAGACATATAGCTAGTAGTCGCGTATAAGAGAGATAGAGTTTGCCTTTAAAAAGAGTAAGCTCTTTTACCTTACTTACGCTTATACTATACTAATAACGCCTGTCTACTTTAATAGCTAGGTTATACCCTTAGTCTAAGAGGCCTACTTTCTAAGAGTTTAGATAGATTAAAAGCTTAGATAAAAAGGCTACCTTAACGCTATTAAATAAAAGTTTACTACCTAGTAGTTTATACTTATAAGGCTTATTACGTCTATATAAAGATATAGCCTACTACGTATAAGAGAGATCTATATAAAGATAATCTAAAGTACTATAGTATATAGTATAAGGGTCTAGTACTACTCTTTTAGGTAGTAAGCTAAGAAGATTGTAAAAGACCTTATTATAAAGTAGTTATAGTACCTTTACGTTATTATAAAGGTATACTAAGTAACTCTTGTCTAGTTCCTTAAGTCTAAAATAGCTATACCTTTACTTAACCTTTACCTTAATAAGTAAGTAGTAGACTTTAAATAACGTCTTAAATATATAAGTAAAGGTAAACTTATATAGTCTATTTATAATAAGGTAGCGACCTGTCTTTAATAACACTAGAGACACTACTATAGTACCGCTATAATACTACCTTATACGTTACTTAAGTATAAAGTAAGCTAAGCTATATAGATAAAAGACTAGTATAAAGACTTTTTTTTAGAAAAGACCTTATAAAAGAACTAAAAGGTATAGTAGTCTTAACATAATAGCTTACTAGTATACTACTAGAGTACTACCCTAGCTATACTACTTGTCTTCTTAGTAGATACCCTTAAGAAGTACTTACTCTTTTATAAGTATAAGAGCTCTCTTTTAATATAGATCTATACTAGTAAAGTTAGACTCTAGGCTTTTCTTTTTAAGCGTAAAGTACTAGAGGTAGTAACCTTCTAGTACTCTTATAGTAAGGCCTTAGAGATAGTAGCTTACCTAGTCCTTAACTACTAGTAGCTAGATTAATAGTAGTAGGCCTTATAGTAAGTACTCTACTTAAGAGTACTATAGACGTTTTATAACTTTATAGTAGTAATAAAGAAAGGTAAGAGTATATATATACTAATCTATTAGCTACTATCTACTAGCTAATTCTTATAGTTTTGTCTAGCTAAGTACTACTTAATAAAAGAGTTATAAAAGAGAGAGTAGCCTTAGCTAGTAGCTAGCGCCTTACTAGCGCCTTACTAGTATTCTATTAGTATGTTTAGTATTACTAGGCTAAAAGGTTAAGTTTTAGTAGAGTAGTAATAAAGACCTAGCGCCTTAGTAGCGTTATAATAGTATAAACGTAAGTAGTAGTACGTAGGTTTTTACCTAGCTTTAGTATAGTTTTACTATATAATTTATATAGTATAAAGGTTCTATATATAGTAGGTATAAGTAGTAAGACTAATAATAATACTTAGTTATAGGCTAGGCCTTATCTAAATACTTAGGTTATAGTTTATACTACTTATAATAGCTTAAATATCTCTTTTTATATAAGGATATAGTATTATATATACTTATTCTAGGCTATTAAGCCTTATAACATATACTAAGTAGTAGGTCTAGCTCTTATTAGCTATAGTAATATCTTAAGATTATATTTTAAGTAAGTATTAGATTCCTTAGTATCGTAATTTAAAAGTACTACTATAATGTATTAGTTAAAGCTTAATAAGCCTAAAACAATTACCTTATCTATATTAATAACGACTTGTTTTTAGTCTATAAATACCTAATTTAATATAAAACAACTAAAGTAAATTTTTAAGAATACTATTATTATTATTAAGTAAATACTTTTAAAAAGAATATCTAGTTAAACTTTACAATAGTCGCCTACGCCTCTAACTGCTCTAAAAACTTAAAAACAAATAATAGAATTAAAATTAGTACCCTTAGATACCCCTTAGAGTACTAGTAGACTATAAGCAAGCCTATAGTAACGGATAGTAAGTATACTAGACTTAAACAAAGCTAGTACTACTTGCTTATAAGAAGGAGCTAATACTCTTATTCCTTAACAGAAAGCTATAGTAAGGAGCCGGTAAGTAGTAAGAGTAGTATAGACAATAAAACAAAGTTAATCTTATAACAAATTAAGGCCTACGTAATACTAGGTAAGAAAGATAAGGCGTCGCGCCTCCTTTACGACCTTATCGTAACGACAATAGTAGTAGTAAAGCTAAAGGTAGTAAATATAGTAACCCTCTTATATACCCTTAAGACCCTTTCTAACGACGACCTAGTAACGATTATGTAATTAAGAACGATGTTAAAAGAGGCCTTTTAGAGGCTAATAGTAGTAGCGGCCCTCTAGGCTACGTACGCGTTAGTAGTAAGCTAGCGCCTAATAAGAGTATAAGTAATACTAGAGAGATAGATTAAGGAGCTAAGGATTAGAGTAGATAGACAAATAAAAGACCTAGTACGTTATAGTACTATTAAAGTAGTAACAGTAGCTAATATAGTGATTAAGGGCGCTAAAGTAGTAGCGACCTACTAGCTTCTTAATAGTAATACTATCCTTACCTTTAAGAAGGCTATACTAAAGACTACGATCTAGGATTAGGGCTAGGTATAAAGGGCATTTAGGCCTATAGCCTAGCTTTATAAGAGTAAGTTTATAGTAATTATAAAGGGCCTACTAGTAGACTAGGTTATATAAGTAGAATTAAGAGCGTTACTAGTAGAGATCTAAGCCTATACGCTATATGTTATAAAGGTTAAAGTCGAGCCTATTAAGGCCTTTATAATAAAGTTTATAACGATAGTACTATACCTCTAGAGCGCTAACGTAGTAACGCGCCTATATAAACAAAGGCTAATCTAGTAAGCCTAGATCTTTAACTATAAGCTATATTCGGCCGACCTATAAATCTAAAGATACTTTTAGTACTACTAGTTCGGCTATATTAGGCGGTTCTATAAGAACCAGGCCTAGTATAGCTACTATATAAGAGTAGTGTACCTTTAAGGTAAAGAGAAGTACCCTTAACTTAATAGTAAGAAAAGATGTATTAACTATAGTAGACTATATATAGTATAAGACTATTAGTATCTTAAGGCCTTTAAGGTAAAAGAGCAGGTATATACTATATATTAGTAAAGACCTAGACAGTTTAAGGTATTAAAGAGTAGCTTTACTAGCTAAGTACTTAGTGTTATACTAGCGTCCTTATAAGATAGTAATAATAGCTACTAGATCGTAGTACCTAAAAGACTATAGACAAGTAATAATAAGAAGCCTATAGTAAAGACTCTAGTAAGGTATAGGCGTCTTCTTATTAAGGCGCTAGATATAGTAACGGTTTAGAGCTATAATATTATAGAGATGTTAAGCTAGAGAACTAACTAAGGGTCTAGCGACCCCTTTATAACGTAAGACTTATAGATCCTAGACTCTTAGTAATAAAATTAATAATAGTATACTAGAATACTATAAGAAAGAACGGCCTTACCTTAATAGCGCTTTATAATAGCTATAAAGCTAACGTTATAGTAATCT